TTATTAAATAAAAGCTATAATAAATTATACGAAAAGAAGACTTGAATTATATTTCTTGATAAGTGGTTGTATTATATTTCAAGCAAGTATTAACATTTCTTTTAATAACAGAATATGTAGCGTTGGACATGTTCCTGGAACCAAAATTCTGATCATTTTACAATACGAAAAATAATGTCTTCCTATTACAAAGCATATACAACTATTTAGTATTGTTTTGATGAGTTCGAATCTAGACATGTAATCCTTTGATATAGGGGTGTTTGCAACTGATTCTGCTTCTACTTCTTTTTTAAAGCAGAAGCTGAAGCAGGATCAGAATCAGTTTTCAAAAGCTGATCTTCCTCAGCTTCTAAAAGAACTTATTCTAGGAGTGAACTAGAGCACCAGAATCACTTCTGCACTATCATCCAAAACACTCCAACTTCTGCTTCTGCTCTCTGAAGGATCAGAAGCAGTATTAAGAAGCAGATCCAAACAACTCCATATATATATATATATATATATATATATATATATATATATATGTATATGTATATTGATTCTGAGAGAAGTGATCAGGTCCAGCCGGAGGGACGGGAGGCGCCGTCCGAACTCCGCCGTTTGGGGCGGTTCCCGGTGGAATTTTTTTGATGAAACTTTTTGAGCATGTTCTTCATCAAGTCTAGTTTGTTCATACCAAATTTCAGCTCAAAATTCGACCGGGAAGGCATTCAAATCATTTTTTGAAGTTGACTGCGCCAAAATATACATATAAAAATGCAGTCAACTTCAAAAAATGATTTGAATGCCTTCCCGGTCGAATTTTGAGCTGAAATTTGGTATGGACAAACTAGACTTGATGAAGAACATGCGCAAAAAATTTCATCAAAAAATTCCACCGGGAACCGCCCCAAACAGTAAAGTTTGGACGGTCCCTCCTGTCCCTCCGGAGGGACCTAATCTTTTCTGTTGATTCTGATATATATACATATATATGCATATACATACATATAGGGGAGGGTTCTATTGAGAACCCCTCCTAAAATTGAACTCTTTATAATGAGAACTTTAAATCTCAACATTTCATTTACTGCAATCATTGATTATGATTCACATGGGGTCATATTCATAATTACCCCAAATTCAAAAGGGGTTCTTATGCAATTAAACTAGGGGTGGGCACGGTCCGGTCCGGTCCAATATTTGGCCGAACCCGTACCCGTACCGTTACTATTGAAACGGTTCGGTACGGTTCGGTCTTAGACCCAAACCCGTTCGGTACGGTCCATTTTCAAACGAGACGGTACCATGCCATACCAATACCAAACAATGCCACTTTTTCCAGGTGTTTAAGAAAAAATTAAAGTTTAGCCATCCTCCAAAAATCCACACAATTTATCAATTTTCATATTTCATACTACCTTCGTTCAAATTGATTTGCAAAGTCAATCTTTTTTGGTCAAACAATTTCTTTTTATTCACTTAATTAGAATTTCACTTTTTAATTATATTCTAATTTGGCCTTTCAAAAAAACTACTCCGTACTTCGTATATTCTAATTTGTATTTTGCAACTTTAGAGAGATTTTAATGTGGTTTCTAAATTGTACTCCGTATTAATTATCAAGAACTTAACATTAACTTTGACAAAAAAATGTCGGCTTTGCAAATCAATTTGGGACGGATGAGGTAATTAATATATTTTAGATAAACTATAGTGGTACAAATTTAATAAACCATACTTCGGTCCGGTTCGGTCCGGTACCGGTTCTCATTTTATGAGAACCGGTCATGACATTGTTTGGAACCGGTTCGGCACAAAAAACTCTGAGATCCGTTTCAAACCCTGTTTATCGGTTCGGTACCATACCGGTCCGGTTCGGTACCATGCCGGTTCGGTATTTTTGCCCACCCCTAAATTAAACCACCTTGTCATTATTAACCATTGATGATAAAAATTAATGACGGAGATTAGAAGTTCTCATTTTAAAAATGAGTTCTCATTTTAAAAAGGGTTCTCACTAGAACCCTCCCCCATACATACATACATACATACATACATACATACATACATACATACATACATACATACATACATACATACATACATACATATATATAATAGAGATCAAATACAAAGCCTTCTTAATTTACAAAGTACAAACTCATCTTGACCGTCCGATGAGTTGATCCAAAGGACATAAAGGCAAGGTGGCATTTTTGTAATAAAACCCAACTTTTAGGGTGCAACTCGTTGCACCTTAATGTGCAACTGTTATTTTTATGACTTTATAATGTGCAATACTTTGAACCTCAATATGCAATTCAAATAACGTCAAGGTGCATCGTACGAATATTTGCACAATAAGCACACTTTGTACTTGATCTATATATATATATATATATATATATATATATATATATATATATATATATATATATATATATATATATATATATATATAGGGGGAAGATGCTCAATAATATGGAATTTTCAACGAGGGTTCTATACATTTGAGCATCCTTATCACTTTGACTTTTTCAACGAGGCAATATACTTTGTATTGATGGAGTTAAGGACCCAGTTTAATGATAAATCAATGAAACTCCTTTCTTTGAGTGCTTCATCGGATCCTAAAAACTCAAATGAGTCCTTCAATGCCGATATTATTTGTACTCTTGCAAGGAGGTTCTATCCCGAAGATTTTACTAGTCGGAATATTCGTGCTTTGGAATTTGAGCTGCAACACTATGTTCACGATCTATGTGATTCCTAATACAAAATTTCAAGTATCTACACTTGTTGAATTATGTGAGGAGTTCACTAAGAGCAGAAGATCTAATTCATATGTTATGGAGAGCAGATTGATTCGCCTTGTATTGATCTTAGCTATTGCTAAATCAAATAGAGAGCGATCATTCTCTCTCATGAAACTTCTAAATACAACACTTTGCAACAAAATGGCGGATGACTTTCTTGCAAATTTCATGACACTTTATATTAAAAGAGACTCTACTCTTAGTATAGATGTAGGCTCTATTGTTGACTCATCGAGAACAACTTTAGTGGAGAACTTTTATATTTTTTTTCCTTATTTGAAAATTTTTTATGTATTACTCCCTCCGTCCCACTAACAATGGGACAAGAGGGAGTGACACGCAAACTAATAAAAAGTGAGTTATGTGGTTGATATTGAATTGATAAAGTAAGAATAATTTGGAGCCACGCAAATTTTGCCTAATTTGGTATGTGACAATCTTAGTGGGACGGACTGAAAAAGTAAAATGGGACAATCTTAGCAGGACGGAGGTAGTATCATTTAAATGTTTCAGCCTACCCCAACATGAAATCCTGTATCCGCTCCTGTTTGAGACCCTCCACTCCCCTTTCCATTTTTAATACCCTCAACTAGTCATCAATGCAACAAATTAGGAGGCCAAAAGTTCCTTTTTTAACATTTTGGACTCCTAATACCCAAACACTACAAATGGTCTAATGTCTTCAACTGTATTAGCTCGTTTAGTAACACTGTGATTGGTTGAATCAGTTGAATCAAATACAATTGATGAAGTTCTTGTTAAAGCAGCTAGATTGGCTAAAGCCTCTGAATTTGCTAAACTATGGAAAAATTATATTTAAAATATACTATGTATTTTATTAAGAACATAAAGAAAAAGTTATATGAAAAATAACTGAAATTATATGAAAAATGAATGTTTTTCTGCTTTTCATCCCTAAAATTTGTGTTGTTTTCTTTTTAGTCTTATTACTCATGATAAAAAAATCATGTTTGACAATAAAGCAACCCTAACTAATATGTTTACTCTGATTCTTTGTTTTTAGTACATATACAAAAACAAATTAAATTTATTTTTAGATAGTATATAATACATATTTTAAAAAAGTGAATAATTTATTTTACATTGTTTTAACTTTCATATCAGCCTTATAAAACTTATAAAAAGGTATATTATAAAGTTTCTAGTAGATTATGTGAATATGTACCAGACGATAATCTCTTTTCTAAAAGAGTTAGAGATTGACTTAAAATACAATAGTGCATATTATAGGGATGAAAAAAACTACAGGACCTAAAATAAAGTGTGTCGTGTTTTAAGAGACTAAAAGCATATTCAAACCATAAAAGTGTCATATGTGAATGTTTATTTTGAAAACACGATCAACCTACCGTCTATAGAATGTCCATAAATTACAATCGTCAATTCTCAGATACACTGAACGTCTGAACCAACTTATCAAATACTTGAGGGAATGTCAAATTATTAAGCGAATGTACAAAAATTACAATTGTCAATTGTCAGACACAGTAAACCAAAATATCATCTATAAACACTCAGGAAAAAAAAAAAGTTAACTCAATGACTCAATGAGCAATATAATTTGTCATCTTAGGTCTTCTAGAAAAGCAATCAGTTTTGGATCAACCCAAATTAAATAGTTAAATACTGGTTTCCATGATGCATTGTTCAGGAGTTGCCTTATGATCGAAGAAAATGAAAATTATAATGAGTATGTATTAATGACACTTTTTGCTCATTATATCTCAGTAATGACGAACTTTAATTTACAGAAATTCTCAAATATTTGACAATTGGTACTTCCACCACAAGTATGTTCAAGTAATTGGACTCCTCCGATGAACCAAAGAGTTCTACTCAAGTCGAAATAAAACTCAAACGGCTACATAATTAGCAATATCATGTAAATTTTTTGAAGCGCTATTTTCAGTAACAAATCTGTGTGTTTGATAATTTTTTAATGAGGATATGTTGAGTAACTGTTTGGCCTTGTTAGTTGTGGCAGACTGGCAGGAATTATTGAAGTTGCAAAATTTGTTGAATTTTAACATTGAAATAAGTTTTTGTATTTAGTAAAGAAAACTACTCCGTATAGCAACCAAAATATGTCATCATCAACTAGTATCAACCTGCACATACGATTATTATTTGGTCAAGGAAACCTGGCTGGCATGAAAACATTGACGAATGCATCCCAATGCAAATCTTTTGTTTACTGGTATTGCACATCAAAAGCTTGTTCTGGGTATGAGCAATTTAAATATGAATCTTGTTTTGTTACATTTCATTATACATACAAAATATGCTGGTTGAAGAAACGACTCCATAATGTCATCAACAGGATTAAGACATTCACTTACATCTTGTTTGTTACAAAATTGCCAAATGCCTTTCTAGTCTCTATCAGTCCCATATGATTTTACAAAGAAAAAAGAAAACAAAATGGCTAAAACAACTATGACAACAAGGTATCACAAGAATGCTCCAAGAAAAGATGGCAAACCATCAGTTTAGCATTTTACCTAAATAACGGCCGGAAGTTAGGAGGGGGCGGCTGCTGTTGTTGCTGAGGTAATTGTAATGCATGTGATTGGTGAGTTGGCATATTTAGATGTTGTAATGAGGGCTGTGCCAAGGGAACTAGAGGACCTAAGTATGAAGGAGATGGGCCTGTGACATAGCCATACGATCCAACAATTCCACCCGATGTCTGCAAATATTGTTGGGGCTGCGGTGGGTTTGGCGGTGGAAGTGAATGGTACTGTGGTTGTTGAGCGTTGGAGAAATGGCCACCCTGCAGCATTGTTGGGTGGTGCTGCATCACCATCACTGATTGATAAGGGTTGCTTGGTGGAGGAGGAGGTGGAGGCGTATTTACTTGAGGCGAATGCATAATAAGAACACTGGGATCAGAAAGGGGCCTTTCTGGCATTGTTAATGAATAGTTTGCTGTATTTATTGGTGGCGTCGATGGGAACGAGGCAGGTGCTACTGAAGAAGAGGACTTTGCCAGGCCGGCATTTTTTGCCTCTTCAGCAGCAAATGTGGAGAGAACCGATGACATGATGTACTGAGACGATGTTGATGCTGTTAGCTTGTCTGCAACCTCAGCTGCTATTGCTGCAGCTGTCTTTTTTTCTGTTGTTGTAGTTGAAGGTTTTGAATCTGCCACGTAACTTTCATTGTCTAAATGTTTTCGCATGGCGCTAGATTCTTCTACCTGAGCATGTGCCACCTAAAAAATCAATTACAAGCAAATATAAGTGCATCTTCTAGTAATGATGCTCTGAGTGAGGATAAAAAAAGCTCTTAATAATATAATGTGAGTCGTGTGGGGGGCAGCACAACAAATGAAAAAGATATATAATCTGAAAATTTGTGATTACAGATTTACAGTTAATAAAATACATATGGGATGACTTCTGGTATTCTTAATTCAGCCCCGCCTAAACTGCTTAAGGGGCTCTGGTTAGAACAATGAATTATTTCCAAACAGAGTAATTTTATATTTTATATTTTTATAAAAGCAGAAGCCTAAAGATTGTGTAGGTTGGGAGAACAAGTCAAACAAACCTGTATCTGAGTGCGAACATTCTCCAGCTCGGATTCCTGAAAATTTATTTTTACAATTTACCATTAATTGACTATATAAATAGAGTAGACTGCAGTAAAAAGTATAGGAACATGTTTTAGCTACCTGTTCATTTAGTGATTCTCTTAACTGACACACAAGAGCAACTCTATTTGCTTCGACTACTTTAAGTTTCTGAATACATTGTTTTAGTACATTTTCTTCCACCTCCAGCTCTTTAGACAATGTCTTTCTGTTTGGGTCGTTTGCTGCATAATGAAAAAGGAGAAATTCAGGAGTAAATAGGTTGAAATTAGAATGCAAATACAGATTCGTGAACACATACTCATATGACACCTTTAACCCCACTTATTAAAAAATAGTAACATAATGATTGGAGGCCCAACGCATCATTTATGGCGGTTTGATACTTTACGAGCCTGCGTACCTGTTGTAAGGGCTGTGTCTACGCCTTTCTCCATCTTTGTTATTCTGTGGACTGTAGACTTGCATTTATTCATTTCTTCCTCTTCATTGGCTTGCTCACTAAGCACCATATGAAATGCTGATACTATTTTTTCAGCTGGTCCTCCAATTGTCAATTTCTGGTTTTCAAGTCCCATGGAAAACAATAATGTCAATAGCACTTCGAATGCATAAGATAAACACCACAAAATAAGCTACAGGTATAAACAATATCAAGCATGAAAGTAGAAAAAACTTGTTAGCCTCACCGTTCTGAGGGATCTTGAATCTCTTTTCAATATCTTTACAGAACGAGACCTCTTTCTGCCAAATTGCAATGGTGTGGGTAGTTCTTTCCCTAGCATAACATCATTAAGGCTCTTTGCCTGAGATCCAAAAACCTTCCTCTCTTCCCATATATTAACCTATCAACCATTTCATCAAAATCAATGAAGCTTCTATTGATTATTTGGAATTCCACAAATTAAATAAAATCATATTTAATTTGTCTCACACCGGCCATGTATAAAGATACAAACCAACCTATTGAGCAGTTTAGAGTTACATCTCCTACTAGGTTGACCTTTTAGGATGAAAGCTCAAATTATGATATGGTATAGAGTAACTAAGCTCAATCGAGCAACCAAGTCTCAACAATGAGCAACAAGACTTCAAAATTGGATTAATATTACAATCTACCATCTTATGGAGCATCATAATTCATCCCACGCTATTGAAATTATAAAATGGAGCCCCAAAGGCTTAATAATTTTCACCTTAAGAATTTGCATTATAAATAATAGAATGGAGAAAAACATGTTTTCCTCAAATCAAGAAAAATGCTACGAAAGGCAGAAAACATGATAAAGTGCGTTTGTTCCTTATGTTTAGTTTTACCTTGGAAATGCAATGAAACAAAAAATGATTAGCTTTTTTTAAACTAAGTTACTAAACACATTTATATTTCTTCCTAGTTTAATAATAGCCATCAATAAATAAAATGACTTCAACAACAACAACAACCCATCCTTAGGGTTGGTTTGCAACTGCTTTTAAAAAAAGCACTTCTCAGCTTTTGGCTTTAAAAAAGCACTTATTTTCCCAAACACTACAACATTTATTTTTCTCGGCTTCCGCGTCAAAAGTGCTTTTACTTTTTCTATTACACAAAAAGCACTTATTTTACCAAACACTACCCACTTTTACTTTTCAAAATCACTTTTTTCTCAAACATTATCAACTTTTATTTAATCACTTCTCCCCATTTCATTAAAAAAAACACTTTTTTAAAAGCAGAAGCTGTTGCAAACAGACCCTTAGTCCCAAAAGAGTCTGAGGTTGGCTGACTTGAATCAATAAATAAAATGAGTATAAACAAAAAATTAATTGATTTCATCCTATTTTTAATAATTTCCCAACAATTTATTTCCTCATAACTTTCTTTTGTGTTTTCCTTCCGACTTTTTGCATTGCTATTTTCCAGATTCCAAACAGACAGTTTAAGTTAGATATATTTTCTTCAAAAATTCACACCAACATGCCTCATGTGGATTATCTTAACAAGCCAATGGCATAAATATAAAAAGGAATGAAACATACCAATCTTGAGGCCACATTCCTTGCCTGCTCATCGCCATTCTCAGCCAAACCTTTTAATGCAGAAGGAAGAACCTTCCAAAACTCTGTGACAAATTCATTGCCTCTCCGCTTGCTGTTCTGTAGTATATCATTAGCCAGATAAAGAAGAGGAACTTTATGGTTCAACTCTGAACTATTGAACTGTTTTTCCCATGTTGTAACTACCAGCTCTGCTTTACTCCTATGGAAAATACACCAATGGGACAGTGCTATATTGAAGTTAAGATAATCAAAGGTTATGATGATTTCCGAAAATGAATCAAAAAGTCATTGGAAGGGAGCCAGTGCAGAAGCAAAGATCCAACCCTTTACAAGCTAAAGGGAATCATGCAAAGAGAAGCTAACTTTGATGCAAACTTCAAGAGGCCAACTTTAAACACTCCACATACCATGCTTAAAAGAGAGCCCATTCATCACCAAATTTACTTCTTATATAAGCCTAAACTTCATGCTCAGCTATTCTTATCTGTATATTCTGATAGACCTTTGAGATTTGTTAGACCAGGAAAAAATAAATGAACCTAGGATCTTCAAAAAGATAGCAAAGAGAGAGAGAGACTAAACCAGATTTGTTTCTCAAAATAAATTATCCTAAAATTTGTATAATATTATCAGTAGCACTTCTACTCTCTTGGTTATCTTATAAACTCAGTAATGGCAACTAATCAACTTCTTCTAAGAAAAAATAAAAAATTCATGAAAAATAATTATGTGATGCAGGAATTTAATTCAAGTTACCAATTAACATAAAGATAGTCAATTAACAGAAAAGGAGGAATGAAATCATGCAAAAGCAGCTGAGGATGAAAAGATTAATCAGTTAAGGTGAATGTAGCACGATTCAAACATCAAGAGAATGAAAAGATCAAAAAGGATACTCTCAATGCACTGCTGAGTGGTGGTGAGCTTCGAGAGCTTATCTTCAAGTATCTCTTCATTGAAAACACTATTCATCCCCAACCACAACGGCCTTTCCTTACCAGTCCTAAACAAGCGAGTTTATGAGCACGCTCCAACTTCAAAAAGAAGCTAAATTTAAACAAAGAATCTCAAGATTCAGATTTCATCTGATTCTTTGAGCCGGGAACTCAAAAGGGTTTCTCGCAAATAACTCCAATTGGGCAGATGCGAAGAGCAGGTTGGATTAAATTGCGCAATTAATGGAATTTTGAATCCGGGAAGTGACTAAATAAAGAAACTTATCAATGCCACACGCCTAACAAAGCCTCGGTTAAGATTAAGGACAAATCGAGCTGGCGAACCTCGAAAAAACGGCTTGCAATAGTGAGACAAAAGAGGGTAGAGAGGAAAAGATTGAAAATTCCTCAATATAATTAATTCGCAGGTTTCTTAGGAGGGTATCGGAGCTAGAGATGGCGGGCGGTTCGCTTAGTATGCACACACGAGAAACATAAAGAGCGGAAGAGGAGGGAAGAAGAGATCAGAAGGAAAGGCAGATTCCCTTTCTCTGTGAATTGGGCTGTTTCTTCGGGGTCTATTTCCCGAGCGTCGAAAATTTCTCCCCCGTATATGAGTAGGTTTTTCGGTTATGTACAATTTTGTACATAAACACAATTAGCCTCACGAGGTTTTTGTTGGAAATTCATTTTGGGGTTATAAGTATTTATTTATTTTTTGCCAAAAAAAAGTATTTATTGTTTTTTGCAAACACATTTTTCATCATTTTAACAAATCGTTTAAAAAATATTTGAAATCAGGCTAACAATCGAATCAAAAATTTTAATCTAATTTGAAGACTGTGAGCAATACGATTTACAAATCTTTTATAAAAAGTTCAATAAAGTTATTTTTCTTTTTAAGCAAAAGATGGATATCTTCTAAAATTAAATCCAAATAGAATAATCCACGCTTCTTCCGAATAAATTGAACTGTTAATTGGGCATGTGTTTTACTTTGATGTGTTATCAACTCCTATGAATAGCACCATGGTCGCTGCATGGACTTCCGTAGCTTCTTCTCCCCCCCCCCCCCACCCCCCCCACCCCCAATACCAATTCGTCCTTGAGTCTCTGAAAATGAGTCCCATTGTAAATTCCCCTTCATTCTTGTTAACCATCTCTAAGTTTGAATGGTTCGCGTTCATTCAGCATTGTGTCAACGTTACTTTGTACTTAGTCTGTTAGTCATGCCTTGGTTATTGTCACTTTTCTATATTTGTCTTATATCTCTGTGTTTCGTCTCCTGTGTAAGGCACTAAGGCTTGTGCGTCCCGCCACCCATTTAAAACGGATGATGCACATAATAAACTAATAAGATCCTCATGTTTTAGGTCATTTCAAACATACTCCTTATGTTTCCATATACTCGAGAGGTGCATCGGGAATTTACTCCAATCATTCCCATATAGTTTCTCTAAGTAGCCATTAACTCTATCTTTTAAATCAAGAGGGCAGATAGTATCAGGTCGGCCTGACGGAAACCGACGTCAGGCCAAGGCCATTTGGGGATCTTCCCGGTGTAATTTTTTGATGAAATTTTTTAAGCATGTTCATCATCAAGTCTAGATTATCCATACCAAATCTCGGCTAAAACTTCAATCGGGAAAATAGTCAAACTAAATTCTTTACAAAAATTGTGCTTTATATATATTTATTAACAGCGCATGTTTCTTCAGCAATTTATTTGACCGCTTTCCCGGTTTAACTTTTAGCTAAAATTTGGTATGAATAAACTAGACTTGATGAGAAACATGCTAAAATAAATTCATTAAAAAGTTCCATCGGGAAGGGCCTCTGATGGCCTCGGCCGGACGATGAGTCCTGTCAGACCGGCCTGACAGGATCGATACTCTTTAATCAATTTCCATTGATGCAATAACTCGTCCTAGGAATTGTCAAACTCCCTCTACTTCAGATCCCAATAGAAATGTGTGATCACCATACTCATCCTCCTTTTCGCACACGGTAGAGCTTATTTCGTTACATGGGGGTGTTGACATAGAAAATTTTGTTTATTTAATAATTTTTTATATCATGTAATAAATTTTATAATTAATATTCAATAAAAGATCATATCAAAATTGAGATAAGCTTAGTGATGGAGTATATAGTTATATACTTGAGGGACCCACAGATCAGACGGTCCAAAGTTACAACCCAAGTCACCTGTCAGGAAGAAGGCCCATGCCTTGCACTAAGGTTGAGACCTTCATCACCAGCCCATCACCGAGCCCAGCTGCTATAGTGAGTCATTGAAGCTGAGCCCAGTGAAGTGACTGTCACTATAGATATCCCACTGACTACCAGATGAGTCCGAGCGGACCTAATCCGCCTTGGTTTGGTTACAGTTTTATGCTTAATCATTTCACGGGCGTTCCAACAAGTCGTGTGCCCAAAGCTTATATCACTAGCGATTTCGCTAACGTCAGAGGCCCAAATTCCGAAAGGGCATACATCATTACTTACATCACCCGTCTATTACAAGAGTTGACATCATCACACATCATCATTACATCACTGACATATTACCCGAGTATTTTTGGGACAAGTGTCAACTCTATGACTCACTTGGCTCTTTTGGGCTTAATGACCGCCTTTGTATTTGCCTATAAATAGCAATACTTCTCATTTGGGAATCAGACCAAATTCTTGTATTGGTTAGTGTTCCATTTTTTTGACAAAAGATAACTTAATTATTAAAGCTGAGGATCACATACAAGTTCGTCATAACAAAGGCTACACTTGGGTGAGAATCAGAGCCGCAATCACGCTCACTAGTGGTCCATCCCGCTAACCCCGCGATTTGGTGGACTCCATTCACAACAATGTTGCACATGCTACTAAAAGGAAACGCAAAAACCATAAAAGAGTTCTGAGTCGAAAAAAATTAAAAGAAGAACGTAATCCAGTTTTTCCAGCCACTGCAAGGAAACAACGGTTTGACCAGACTCCGCTAAAGGTTTCTCGTGTTTATCCTCCAAATATTCTGCTACTGGCGGTGCTGCCCGAACAGCACCGCCACTTCCAAGTTTTTTGGAATTGCTTCATCTACTTCCATGCTTGCCTAAGCCCCCTCCTCGTTATCCTTCTCAGTGACCCTGCGTTTTTTGGTGCTTCCTGAACTGTAACAATCTTCTTGCCCTTTGATGGGAGTCCTTCTACCAAATAGTTCTCGTGTTCGCTTGTTATTTTACCAAGGTCTACTCCTACATTCCTTTTGTCTCCTGGCTTATCCTTACTAGAAATAAGCCACATATTGCCTGGATATGAACCCTCTCACCTCGTATCAGCATGACCAAGAATCTCACACACAAAACAAAGATTTGGGAGTCTCTCATAGCGAAAGTTTGCCCAAATCCAACTATCTCCTCTTGTCTGACCTGCAAGCGCCTGATCAAGTCCATAGTAATATTAATAGTGACTCCGATGTGCAGTACTAACCTTTGCTTTCCGCCAAGAGAGCTCTCGTCCACTTGCACAAACGATCCTATGATGTTAGTTATTCCACGCGCATCCCTTGCTGTCATGTAGCTTAATGGTAAATTGTGAACCTGAACCCAAAAATCTGCACGATCCAGTGGAATCTCAAGAGGTCTGTCGGTACGACCCACACGTTTGATGACCACAAGATTTTGCTCAAAAGACCAAGGCCCTTCATTAACAACCCTACTCAGACCCCCTTCATGATAAAACTGTAAGAGGAATCTAGAATCCCCAATCTCATCAATTGAAACTCCCTTGATTGGTCGCCAAACCATACCCATGGTTTGACAAAAAAATACACCCCGAATAGGTTTGTCTGATACCACTCTAGCCATAACCGCTAGATCGAACCCTCTTTAGTCTCGTCAACATTCTCAATAGGATTAGCTGTGAGCACCAAACCCCTATTTTCCTCCACATCAATTGATATCATGCTGACATCCTTTGTAATCATAGTCATAGCAACTCAATCTCAAATCCACAAACACAAGCAAATAAAGTATGCCAAAAACCGTATAAAGAAAAACCAAATGAAACTTGTTGCATCAACAATGAAGTCGTGCAGTCATACAGAAAGAGAACAAGAGTAAAAATTCAGAATCCATACCCGTTCAAGTACGAACGTAAGAAGAATCTCGGCCAAGGAAGCGTCAGACCAATGATGAGCAAACAGCCCGTAATCCAACAAGACTAGAAGCCAAACAAAACCAAGCAAAAAGAAGAAGGAACCTGATGTCGTAGAGCCTGTAATCTTGATCGCAATCAATCGATCGATCTAGGACCGGCAGCCGGCCTATACTCTGCCACTAGGGTTTTCATCGCTCAGCATCTTACGAAGTCCTCAATCGGAGATTCTTATTTGTTCCATTTTTTAACACAACTTCTCTCTACATTTGCTCTCACCTCTCTAAAACAATACTACCCTCGGACCCCATAACCCATCACTTAAATACTATATACTCCCTCCGTTCCCGGATTGACTTTCACACATTTTAAGGAAATAAAGTTACTGAGAGGTAAATTTTACTGTTTGGCTCTATTTCGACATTGTTTGGCACTGTTTCGACACTGTTTAGCACTGTTTTGCACTTTTTGACACTGTTTTGATGTAGGATAACTTTCCATTTAGGGAAATGGGAAGTTTGTTTTAGGACATCCAAATAAGGAAAGTGGGAACTTGTGGGACGGAGGGAGTAATATATTTAAATATTGATTATTGGATAATATATAGATCTTCTCATATCGTCTTAACTCTAGTATAAATAGGTATTTTCTCAGAGAAAAGGAAATGCATTAATCAAATTTACCTCTGTAGTTCTCTTTACAAAGAATATGTAGCTTCTTAACAAAGGTATAAACTTTCAACATTTTTTATCTATCATTTTTTAAAATTATTGTTGTCGTTTAGAACTGGAATTTCCAGGTATGCCAATTTGTACTAGTCGCAATGTCCACTACGTGTGTCTCCCCCCCCCCCCTAATAGTACCCCCCGCTAGCCATAATCAAATACTTATAGCAACTTCTAATCTAAAACATTCTATTGCTCTTTTCGTACCATAAAAAATCATCCTTGCACCCATGATCAATATGCAATGCATCCACTTTCATAAAATGAGCATCCATTTTATCCATATTCCAATTCCAATTTTTTTGTTACTCCGTTCATAGGGTTGTGACGTTCATATACCTAATACCAACTAATCTAGCCGATTTCACTCTCTTAGACTCTCCACTCGGAAGTCATGCAACAGTCGAAACCTGAACTTCAACACCATCGACAACCTTCCTCTGAATATTCTCACAAACCACCCGTTGAACTTATAATAATTCGTTGTACGAAAGATGGCTCACTACCCACCTTGGCATTCAAAAATGTTGAATCCAAGTTATATCGAGCCTAAAAAGGACTATTGTGCCAACATATTAATATTAAACTCCCTATTTTTTATGACCCCCCCCCACCACCACCACCACCACAATTTTGTCTACACAAACTGATTGTCTATGATCTCAATTAAATTTTGGTCCTTTTCATCAATATTCATTCATGATT